TTAAATAAAGAATCTAAAAAGAAGAAAAAATCATAATATAATCTACAGTAACAAAAAAAGATTTCAGTTTTTCGAAGTGATCGCAAACTTTTTTTGATGTGTGTATGTAGCAACGCCTCACGCGAGCTGATTCATAAAAATATTTTGGTAAAGCTTTTTTAGCCACGAGTTCCTACGGGAAATTTATCAATTTATTAAAACGATATGATTTCTGCCGTTAAATAAGGACAAACTATGAAGTAGCACATTTCTTAATATTGACATAGAAGTTAAATTATAATTTAGTTTCACGGGATAAAAGTATATAAGGAAACTTCAACGAGCAAAAGCGATCATTAATAGATACTTTGACGACTGTTTATCTAAAGGTCAAAACGAGGAGACGCCCACCTAGTGCAGAAAGATTTGAGCTTTAAACACGGTGTTCCAACAGTGACAAAATAAACGAGATTAACCTGAGAGACGAGCAAACGGTACCGAAGTATACTTGAATAGAAATGAGAAAGTAAAGACACTGGGAGTAACCTGGCATGTGAGAGAAGATAAACAAGCCACGAGTAATATAGACATTGTTGCGGAAAAGAGAATCACAAAGTGAAATATCTTATCGGTCATTGCGTCTCTATTTGACCCCAAGTATGCTAGCAAATTTTTTTATACAACAACTTTGATTTCTTGATTTGTCTCGGGATGAAGACTTACTTAGCAATTATTGTGATGAGTGGATAAGTTTCGATCGCAGATTAAAATACTCAATCTAATTAAATTACCGAGATGACAAATTGATTGAAACGACAAATGGGCATGAATTAATACAGCTACACAGATTTGAGACGCCTCTGCATTTGCTTACGCTGCAGTGACGGACAGTAGAGTGATAGACGACTCAAGCGTAGAAATATCACGCTGATGGCAAAAACGAAAGTAACTTCAATTAAGAAATTATCCTTACCACGATAAGAGCTGTGTGCTACTGTATTGGTCAGCAAATTGCAAACGCATTGCTAGCGCAATGAGCATACAACCTGAAAATATTTACGCTTACGTCGAGGAGATCCATTGTGATGGAAGCTGTATGTTGAAAACTGCGTAATCGATATCAACAACACGATTCTAACTAGATAGAATCCTGCCGATCTAGCAGCTCGAGGATTACTACCTGATAAACTAAAATGCAAATAATTATATTTATTTATTTCTCCCACAACATAATATTTTTTTAAGACTCCTGGTCAAAGAATTATAGTGGTCAGGTCCATCACACCCAAACCGAAGATTTTTAAAATACCTACCTACGGAAATCGTGAGAATGTGGCATCGAGAAACGAGAAACTATACAACCTGCGCTACAATTACAGTGAAACCTACCAATAATGGCGACGAGATCTTAGCAATTACGAAGATATTCATCCCTAGAGAAACTACTTGCAGTTGTCGCCTGGATACAGAGATGGTTGTTCCTAAAATGAAAAAAAATGAGTAAGTACATCTTACCTGTATTTGATAATCACGAGGAATGCGAAGAAGAACTTATCACTTGTGTCAAATTTTCCCAGAAATAGAATTCCCCGAAGAGATAGAGCAATTGAGATCCCCATTTACCCCTTTTCTTGATGAACAAGGTGTATTAAGAATAGAACAACGCCTGAAACCTGCAAATATAGATTTCTTGAGGAAACACCCGATAATTATATCGAAGAACAACGCACCCTTGCAGCTAATTGTTGGATG